AATTCAGCACCACCAAACCACTCTACAACAAATGCTAAAGGAACTTCTCTAGGTAGGAAAAACAAGAGAAGGAAAAGTCCTACAATAACAAACCCCAAAAAATTAAGAAAATGATAATAGGAACATACATATCGATAATTACCTTAAACGTAAATGGATTAAATGCTCCAACCAAAAGACACAGCCTGGCTGAATGGATACAAAAACAAGACCCATATATATGCTGTCTACAAGAGACCCACTTCAGACCTAGGGACACATACAGACTGAAAGTGAAGGGATGGAAAAAGATATTCCATGCAAATGGAAATCAGAAGAAAGCTGGAGTTGAAATTCTCATATCAGGTAAAATAGACTTTAAAATAAAGACTATTACAAGAGACAAAGAAGGAGACTACATAATAATCAAGGGATCAGCCCAAGAAGAAGATATAACAATTGTACATATTTATGCACCCAACATAGGAGCACCTCAATACATAGGCAAATGCTAACAGCCATAAAAGGGGAAATCGACAGTAACACAATCATAGTAGGGGACTTTAACACCCCACTTTCACCAATGGACAGATCATCCAAAATGAAAATAAATAAGGAAACACAAGCTTTAAATGATTTAGACAAGATGGACTTAATTGATATTTATAGGACATTCCATTCAAAAACAACAGAATACATCTTCTTCTCAAGTGCACATGGAACATTCTCCAGGATAGATCATATCTTGGGTTACAAATGAAGCCTTGGTAAATTTAAGAAAATTGAAATCATATCAAGTATCTTTTCTGACCACAATTTTATGAGACTAGATAACAATCACAGGAAAAAATGTGCAAAAAATACAAAGACATGGAGGCTAAACAATATGCTACTAAATAACCAAGAGATCACTGAAGAAATCAAAGAGGAAATCAAAAAATCCGTAGAAACAAATGACAATGAAAACACGACGACCCAAAATCTATGGGATGCAGCAACAGCAGTTCTAAAAGGGAAATTTATAGCAATACAATCCTACCTCAAGAAACAAGAAACATCTCAAATAAACAACTTAACCTCACACCTAAAGCAACTTGAGAAAGAAGAACAAAAAACCCCCAAAGTTAGCAGAAGGAGAGAAATCATAAAGGTCAGATCAGAAATAAATGAAAAAGAAATGAAGGAAACGGTAGCAAAGATCAATAAAACTAAAAGCTCGTTCTCTGAGAAGATAAACAAAATTGATAAACCATTAGCCAAACTCATCAAGAAAAAAAGGGAGACGACTCAAATAGAATTAGAAATGAAAAAAAAGTAACAACTGACACTGCAGAAATACAAAGAATCATGAGAGATTAGTATAAACAACTATATGCCAATGAAATGGACAACCTGGAAGAAATGGACAAATTCTTAGAAAAGCACAACCTTCCAAGACTGAACCAGGAAGAAAGAGAAAATATATACAGACCAATCATAAGCACTGAAATTGAAACTGTGATTAAAAATCTTCCAACAAACAAAAGCCCAGGACCAGATGGCTTCACAGGTAAATTCTATCAGACATTTAGAGAAGAGCTAACACCTGTCCTTCTCAAACTCTTTCAAAGTATTCCACAGGGAGGAACACTCCCACACTCATTCTACAAGGCTGCCATCACCCTGATGGCAAGAGACCTGTATGCAGAAAACTATAAGACACTGATGAAAGAAATTAAAGATGATATAAACAGATGGAGAGATATACCATGTTCTTGGATTGGAAGAATCAGCATTGTGAAAATGACTATCCTACCCCAAAAATCTACAGATTCAGTACAATCCCTATCAAACTCCCGATGACATTTTTCACAGAACTAGAACCAAAAATTTCACAATTTGTATGGAAAACACAAAAGACCCCAAATAGCCAAAGCAATCTTGAGAAAGAAAAACAGAGCTGGAGGAATCAGGCTCCCAGACCTCAGACTGTACTACAAAGCTAGAGTAATCAAGACAGTATGGTACCGGCACAAGAACAGAAATATAGATCAATGCAACAGGATAGAACGCCCAGAGATAAACCCATGCACATATGGTCACTTATCTTTGATAAAGGAGGCAAGAATGTACAATTGAGAAAAGATAGCCTCTTCAATAACTGGTGCTGGGAAAACTGAACAGCTACATGTAAAAGAATGAAATTAGAACACTCCCTAACACCATACAAAAAATAAACTCAAAGTGAATTAAAGACCTAAATTATAAGGCCAGGTACTATAAAACTCTTAGAGGAAAATATAGGCAGAACATTCTATGGCATAAATCACAGCAAGATCCTTTTTGACCCACCTCCTAGAGAAATGGAAATAAAAACAAAAATTAAAAAATGGGACCTAATGAAACTTAAAAGCTTTTGCACAGCAAAGGAAAACATAAACAAGATGAAAAGGCAACCCTCAGAATGGGAGAAAATATTTGCAAATGAATCAACAGAGAAAGGATTAATCTCCAAAATATACAAGCAGCTCATGCAGCTCAATATCAAGAAAACAAACAACCCAATCCAAAAATGGATGGAATAACTAAATAGACATTTCTCCAAAGAAGATATACAGATTGCCAACAAACAAATGAAAGGATGCTCAGCATCTCTAATCATTAGAGAAATGCAAATCAAAAGTACAATGAGGTTTCACCTCGCATCAGTCAGAATGGCCATCATCAAAAAATCTACAACAATAAATGCTGGAGAGGGTGTGGAGAAAAGGGGACCCTCTTGCATCGTTGGTGGGAATGTAAATTGATATAGCCACTATGGAAAACAGTATGGAGGTTCCTTGAAAAATGAAAAATAGAATTACCGTATGACCCATCAGTCCCACTATTGGGCATATACCCTGAGAAAATCATAATTCAAAAAGAGTCATGTACCACAATGTTCATTGCAGCTCTATTTACAATAGCCAAGACATGGACGCAACCTAAGTGTCCATCAACAGATGAATGGATAAAGAAGATATGGCACATATGTACAATGGAATATTACTCAGCCATAAAAGGAAATGAAACTGAGTTATTTGTAGTGAGGTGGATGGACCTAGATACTGTCACACAGAGTGAAGTAAGTCTGTAAGAGAAAAACAAATACAGTATGCTAATACATACATATGGAATCTAAAAAAGAAAATGGTTCTGATGAACCTAGTTGCAGGGCAGGAATAAAAAGGTAGACATAGAGAATGGAGTTGAGGACACTGGGAGGAGGAAGTGTAAGCTGGGACAAAGTGAGAGAGTAGCACTGACATATGTATACTACCAAGTGTAAAATAGATAGCTAGTGGGAAGCAGCTGCATAGCACAGGGAGATCAGCTCGGTGGTTTGTGACCACCTAGAGGGGTGGGATGGGGAGGGTGGGAGGGAGATGCAATAGGGAGGGTATATGGGGATATATGTATACATATAGCTGATTCACTTTGTTATACAGCAGAAACTAATACAACATTGTAAAGTAATTATACTCCAATAAAGATGGTAAAAAATCAATCAATCAATCAATAAAATAGGTAACTTATAAGGACCTGTTGTATAGCACAGGGAACTCTACTCAGTACTCTGTAATGACCTGTATGGGAAAAGAATCTAAAAAATAGTGGATATATATATATGTATAACTGTTTCACTTTGCTGTACAGGAGAAACTAACACAACATTGTAAATCAACTATACTCCAGTAAAAATTAATTTTAAAAAATGCAAGCTGTCTTAGACACGTAACTTGCAAAAAGATTTTAACTTAGAACTTTTGAGATCTAGTTAGAGTACAATGACAAGAGAATGGAATTTAGAGTCAGATAACCTGAATAAGGCTTGAATCTGTCTTCACTGATATTTCAACCTTGGGCAACCTTGGGCAAATTTAATCTCCTGATTAAATTATAGTTTCTTCATCTGTGAAATGGAACTAATGGTATTGTGAGGTTTAAATGAAGTGAAGAAATGTTTTGTAAACTGTTGATTGTCATCACTCATGTTTGCAGTTATTGTTTCTCTGGCTTTAGTTTAAGAAGGAGGCGAGTAATGGACCCACAAATGGGATATTTAGGATTCAGAAACTATTTTGAAGTGGATTTCAATGACATCATGATATATCAAATTTTGTGGGATACAGCTTAGAGAGAAATTTACAGCACTAAAATTGAAAACATTTGCTCTTCAAAAGGAGACACTTATGAATATGAAAACACAAGGCACAGAATGGGAGATAACATCTGTAAAACATATATCTGACAAAGGGCTTGTATCTAGAATACATAAATTACTCCTAAAACTGAATAATAGTATGACAAATGACTTAGTAAAAATAGGGAAAAGATTTGAACAAACACTTAACCAAAGAAAATATCCGGATGACTAGTAACCACATGAAAACATGCTCAGCATCATTAGTTATTATGGAGATGCAGACTGAAACCACAAAGTGATACTACTATATACTTAGCCACTAGAATGGCAAAATTAAAGTTTGACCATATCAAGTGTTGGCAAGGATGTGGGGCAACCAGAACTCTTATCCACTGATGGTGGGAATGCAAAATAGTACAACCACTTAGGAAAAGAGCTTGGCAGTATAGGAACCCACTTGGAACCCCAGAGTTGGTATATAGATTATTTTAAGCTGAAAATATTTGGGATTCAACAGATGCAGAAAGAAGCCTTCTTGGAGCTTTCTTTATTTAACTAAAAGTGGACCCTTCTGAGAAATGAGGATTGCCATAAATTTCCTCTTCCAGGCAGCTTCTATTCCCAGGAGGGAGACCAAGAATAAACCTGTTATAAATCCCTCTCTGGGGTACAGTTATGATAGCAACTGGGAACAAGTAATGATAGCAAAATTTATAATCCACTGAATAAAATAGGAATCCATCAGTCCACACTGGTATAAATAAGTAAATAAATATATATCAATGGAAAGTTTGATTAAAATAGGATAGTTATGTAGTTTCAAAGTAGCTCCCCACAAAATGCTTATTAATTACAGGGAGAAAGGGGATAACCTCAGGGTGGAAAAGCCTGGCACACAACGTGCATCAAATGATCTAAGTGAACATCACCAGCATGAGGACAAAAGTATGGGGCACTTGATAGGACGTGATGGAAAGTATTTCTGTGATTTTCCTGCCAAAGGTGAGTAATCTGAATCTAATCATGTGGAAACATCAGACAAAGTATAAAGGGACACTTTTTGAAAAATAAAGCAAAACAAAAACTGGTATATAATCTTCAAAAGTATCAAGGCCATGAAAATTAAAGAAAGACTGAGGAATCATGCCTGATTGTTAGAAACTAAAGGGACATGAAAAATAAATGCAACATAAATGGCAGGCCACGAACAGGTTTGGTAACTTTTAGCTTTGTAACACACCTCTGACTTGGGGAGAACAGCACTTTCATACAGGGACTCTGTGAGGTTTTGATGAAAGGCAATGAGATCATATCTGTGCTTTGCATTTCTTAGAAGTGGTACAGGGTATTCATGCATAAGTACTGCACAGTTTTAGTTTTTTACAAGACTATAATGAAAATGGAATAAAGTGAGGCATGAGTTTCTAAAAAAAAAAAATTAAAAATAAATAAATAAATAAATGCAGCACGTAATTCTGGATTGGATCTTTTCCTATAAATGACTTACTGGGAAAAATGGTGAAACCTGAATGGGGTCTGTAGATTAGGTGGCAGCAATGTATCAGTGTTAATTTCCTGGTTTTGATAGGTGTGTTTTGATTATATAGGCTAATTCTCTTGTTTGTAAGAAATTTACGTTCAAGTATTTAAAGTATACATTAAAGTATTTACATTGAAGTATTTTGTAAGAAATTTACCTTAAAGTATTCAGGGGTGATAAGCATCATACTTACTCTAAAATGGTTCAGAAAAGAAAAGTTCTTCGTACTACACTTGCAACTTTTTTTTTATGAATTTGAGATTGTTCAAAATAAAAATTTGAAAAAATGTATACAAAAGAAATCATCTTGTAGAATGGATTGATGTAGGGCAAGAGAAGTCAGGCCACCAGGCAAGATGCTTTTGCAGTAAACTGTATACAAAAGACAGTTATTACCAATAGAATAGTAGTAATAGAAATGGAAAGAAGTAAAGAAATTTGTCATATGTTTAGGAGAAGCAACTGATGACAAGTGGAGCTTGAGAGAAAGAGATAATTTAAGGATGATGTCTAGGTTTGGGAACTAGACACCAAGGTGATTAGTGATGCCATTTTCTGAGATGGGGAAGAGTAGTTTGGGAATTAAACTAAGAGTTCTGATCTAGACATGTTAAGTCGGAGACGTCAGTGAGATATCCCAGTGAAGATGCTGAATAAGCAGTTGGAAATATGAGTCTGGCACTTAGGGGAGAGGTATCAACTTTGGAGTCACCAACACAGACATGATTTCAGCCATAGGACTGAATAAGATCACTGTTTCAAGCAAGGTTCTTGGCTGAAAACATCTGGATCTCCCCTAGCATAAAGGTCAGATAGAGTAGTGTCAACCCTTCAACTTTGTTCTTCTTCGGCATTGTGTTGGCTATGCTGGGTAATTCTTCTTCTTCTCCTTCTCCTTCTTCTTTTTGTCTTTAGAGCAGTAGGTTTTCCCTCAATGAAATCCTTAACCTCAACATTTGGGATTTACTTTTTCTTTGCATTTTGACAGAAGAGAATGGGGGAGGCTGTTTGATCCTTTGATGTTATTATTAAATCCACAGATATGAATTTCCTGTGGCCTGTGATCCTGAGAACTTAGGACACTTGGAAGGTCACCATGAAAAATTTGTTCTGTTGATGACATTTTCACCCTTCTCTTATTACTTAGAGGCTTCAGTATGAGAAGTATATTTTAGAAATTCATGTGGAAAATAATTTTTTTTTAATTGTGCTATTTTGCCTTCAAGTGAAGCTATAGTTCTCCTGGGCTGACATCATAGCCATTTCCTCACCCTTGGTTGTAAAGGCCTCCAGGAGAAAATTATGTGATTGTATATGTAAATCAGATCGACTCTTTAGATTAGAAAACAATGCTTGCCTGATGGCTGTATCTGCCTGTCCTTCATTCTAAAGGGCTCTTAAGAAAAGTGACTGTTAGATTTTTCCTATGTTGTATTTGCCTTTACTTAAGTTACCTGGGTTTGACTTTTTTTTTTTTGCGGTACGCGGGCGTCTCACTGTTGTGGCCTCTCCCGTTGCGGAGCACAGGCTCCGGACGCGCAGGCTCAGCGGCCATGGCTCACGGGCCCAGCCGCTCCGCGGCATGTGGGATCTTCCCGGACATGGGCACGAACCTGTGTCCCCTGCATCAGCAGGCGGACTCTCAACCACTGCGCCACCAGGGAAGCCCCAAGGGTTTGACTTTTTGAATAAGAACTTCGCCAATCTATCTCTACCTAAAATACTGTCAGTTCACTCTTGCAGTAAGGAAATGGTGAGAAACCCATTCTTACCTCCTTTTTCCAGAAGAATCAAAACGTCAAATTTCAGGTATAAGTGCCAGTTCTGGAGTCAGATTGTTAGGGTTTAAACTGTGTGCAAACCCTGTTAAAAACCTGTGTGATCTTGGTAATTCACCTGATCTACGTCCCAGTTTCCTCATTTGTTAAAAGGGAATATTGTGAGGATCAAATAAAATAGCTCTTGGAAAGTTCTTAGTATAGAGCTGGCCCACGGTAGGTACTAAATATGGAAATTTTGTCATTACAGTAAGTCCCCTACATACAAACCTTCAAGTTGCCAACTTTCAAAGATGCAACGTCAGGTGTGAATGAAATTGCAGTTTGCCCTCCATCTCCTATTGCTGACAATCCTTCAGCTCTCCTGTCTCCCACCTCCTCTCCCTCCTCCGGTCAGTAACTCTTCTTGCCTGTTCACTCGATGCCAGCTGCTGTATGCCAGCTGTCGTACTGCACTACTGTTCTTTTCAAGGTACTGTACTGTAAGATTAAATGTGTTTACTTTTTGTTTGTTTGTTTTTTATATATTATTTCTGTGAAAAGCATTATAAACCTATTACAGTACAGTACTATATAGTCAATTGTGTTAGTTGGATACCTAGGCTAACTTTGTTAGACTTACAAACAAATTGGACTTACGAACTTGCTCTCAGAATGGAACCCGTTCGTATGTAGGGGACTTACTGGAACTTTATTATTATTCACCTTACTGTTCTAAAACCATCCTTCTTGAAGGGACAGAATTATGACCATGTCGTAGCTTGAGCTTTTTCTGAGCTTGCATAGCATCTTCTAGAGACCTCGGTTACCGTTCTTATCACATGGTAGTAGAGGCAGAGCTGGCCTGCAGCCAGGATGCCCAGGTGCACTGGCCAACATCCCTCTGACTGGCTGGTGTCCATAGTATGAAGTTAGTTATATATTTTGAGCATCTCCCTGATTATAAATGTTACATTGCTGTCTCCCCTGTTGGATTGAGAGCTCCCAAGGGCAGGGTTTGTGCCTTATTGATTCCCAGTGCCTGAGACCATGCTTGGCACATAGTAGATTCTATATAACTCTTTGTCGAAACAAAAGAACTTGTGGGACTTTGAGTTACCATAGTGGACTTGAGATATTACAGGAAAGCTAGCTACCCTTTGGGTGGAACTGTGAAAACAAATAATAGGGAGGAGCTGTATGTAGGGAAGAAGGTGGCCCTGAGCCCTGTCTCAAGTCAGATCTTGGTAGGAGTGCCTCCAGCCTGTAGCGTTTTCCCATCAGCTTTAACCAGTTAGATATTTGCTCTCAGACGATTGGAGGTTCACTTTAGGAGGCATATATTACTTGTCTCCTTTGAGGTGTCGAGCTGTGCAAACTGGCCACCAGCTGCTGCTTAACGACCCATGCCCTGTTGTCACGTATGCCCTTCTTGCCTCTATTCCCACCTCTGTGCCTCCCAACCCTCTCCCACACATGATTAATGTAAGGGCTGCAGACAGCATGTGGGTTCCTTATCTTCCACCACCTCAGTATAGCCAGAGGAGAGGAGAGATTCTAAGATGTTTTCAAAACATATATGAGGAAGGAATAAAAAAATTCCCAACTAGTTCAACTGGCTGAAAAAAGCCTACATACAGTCTTAATACCAAGAGAACTTACATGTATAATAAAATAATCCTTTCCATTCCATGGTCCTGTGGTTGGGATTGTGTTGGGTAGTTTCTAGGCCAGAAACTTCTCAGAGCAGTGCTTTTCATTTTGGGGGTGTGGAGGTGGAATCTAAACCCAAATCTAATCAAATGTATGATAAAAGTGTGACTAGTGCCAAGAAGGCATAGTAAAAGCTAATTCACGTCTGAAATGAAATTGTAGACTCCACTGACCATAACAACTAATAATAGGAGCTTGAAGGCAGGCAGAGTGCTGAGATGAGCTTTGTGAGACACCTCTGAACCTCAGCACCCTCTTTAGAAACAATTATCATAATGATAATGAGACCACCTAATGCCACATGAATAGGGTGCAAAGCAAGACAAAATGTGTGTGTGTGTGTGTGTGTGTGTGTGTGTAAAAGAAACAGAGAAATGGAAAGAGAAAGAGACAAAGAGAAAAACTGAAATATAATTCCTTAAGGTAATTTTTTCTTCTTGGGGAAGGAGATTGAATGAATGGAAAGAAGTTTAGGCCAGGAATCAGGAGACTTGGGTTTAGGCCTGGAGCTTGGTCCCCCTGAGGCTCTTGCTTACTTGCCTGAACCTTGGCCGCATCAGTTGGGAAAGACCTCATGGAGTTACTGTGAAGTGATAACAGAGGTACAGCTGCCTTCAAAGTAAACTGGATAAGTAATGCGAGCCACTGTTGCTATTTTTACAGAGGTGTAATACCATGATTAATGATTAACAAAGGGTGATGTGGTAGACCTGCATATACTATCTTAGGCAGGCTGTCTGCTCAAAGCTATTTCTATCATGACTGAATCACGCGCCAAGTCTCATGGCTGCTGGCTCATAACAAAAAGGTATAGTCATGTTGCTAAGATTATACACCAGCAATTATCTCTCAAAAGGAGATAGATAAGAGAATTAACTCAGCACTCTAAGAACAACCTGGGAACCTTTTAGGAAATAAACACTATAAGATGCCCTGGAGTAAAAATTTAATAGCAGAAGTTGTATTTTCCCCTTTCTCCCTCCCTCCCTTTT